CAATTATTGAAACCATAAACTACAAGCTATCTGAACACAGCGGTATTTATTCTCGAAAGTTAATGTCATACCTCGAAACACCCATTGTTGAGTACGAGTTTTTAGAAAATGTTGACGTCTTACTAATCAAGAGTAAATCAAAAGTTGAAAATAAAATTAAACTACTGCAAATTTTAGAGTCTGTCCCATGTAATTTAGATTCACCTAGATTTGACAGATACAGACCACGGGAAATTGACCCAAAAATAGATTTCGACGTTTTTAAAAAGTACAATGAGTACTATAACAAATGGGATCCAAATTATCAACGAAAAGAGGAATACATAGAAATTATCGAGTCACACTTCAACGAACTGTCTGGTATCAAAATGTTTAAGCGCCCCAATGACCCGCAATTCTATGACCAGTGGCACTTATTCGGGCCCGATCAACTTGAAAAATATGGAACAGATGTTGTCAGCACCTGGGAAGCCATTTTAAACCATCTTTCGCAAATTTACGACCAGCCAGCCGCAGCGTTTTTTGAATATGGACTCAACCTTGAACCTATAGAGGTAGCGTTAGTTGACAGTGGTTGCTCCATGCACAATGATTTGATCGAACGACTTGCCTACACTGAACATTGTACTTTCGGCCAAAAAACCTATTTTGACCCTGTTACTCAAAAGATAAAAGGATGTTTTGGCCACCATTTCGGTGACAACCTGCCTGACCCTACAAACGACACTGCAAACCACGGAACACCTGCCGCTGGAATAGTTGCTGCGAAGTCAAACAACAACATTGGCATAAGTGGAATCTGTCCGAGCTGTAAGGTTGTATGTTTAAACATAGTAAACAGTAAAAATGGGAAAATCGCAACTAGCTCAATCATAAAAGCTATTGACTATATTATTGAACGCAAAATCAAAGTTTCCAACCACAGCTACGGCGGATTCGGAAGCGACATGACAGAACAACGAGCTTTCCAAAAACTTCACAAAACTAACAACCACCTCGCTTTCACTGCAAGCGGAAACGCGGGTTGCAACATCGGTTGCAATAACTACAACTATTGCCCTCGCAAATGTCTAACCAAGAGCCACTGGACACCTGCAGAGTTCCATATTGATTCTTTAATTACTGTTGGGAGCACAGACCGAGAAGGAAACGTTTCTATGTTTAGTAATGTAGGAGATCAAACCGTCGATTTATTCGCTCCTGGTAACAATATTGTATCACTCTCTAATTTAAGTCCCAATAAATTGGTTGTAGTGAGCGGTACCAGCTTTAGTTCGCCTATCGCTGCAGCCATAGCAGCACTACTTTGGAGTTCCATACCCACTGCTGCACCAGCGCAAGTCAAAAAAGCGTTACTACTAGGCGCTATTCGATATGATCATTTGAGATGTAAGTTTATTATTGCAAAAATTATCCTTAGATTATTCCATCATTCCAGGTATTATAAACGCATTGAATTCGTATAAAATATTACGGTCTTTAGTATTAGAAAATACATACTAACCACCAATTGATAATTAATTGTTATAAATTTATTATATTTTTTTTAATAACAAAATTATTATTCTCAAAATAAAGCCTCTTTAAGTTTAAATAAAACGAGCAAGATAACTATATAAAATTTTCATTAATCAAGTGGACTATACACCAGCCATTTATCATTTTATATCTCACATTTTCGGACAAATTGTATGTCTTTTCAACTGCACAGACTCAAGTCAGGCTGGGCTGTTGACCAAGCAATCGTAACGGAAAAAAACAAGTTAGTTGTCGTGCGTTTTGGTCTTGACAATCACCCCAGCTGCATGATCATGGACTACATGCTTCACAAAGTTAAACCTATTGTAAGAGAACTAGCCAACATCTACACAGTCGACATTGATGACGTCCCTGACTTCAACGAAATGTATGAACTTTATGACCCACTAAACTTGATGTTTTTTCACCGAAACAAACTAATCATGATTGATATGGGTACTGGAGACAACAATAAAATCACCGAACCTTTCAAGGATAAACAACAACTTATTGACGTTATTGAGTTAGTTTATAGAGCCGCCACCAAGGGCAAAGGTTTAGTTGCCTATGACGTTTTTCTAAAATAAATCCGTTGTTATTTAATTATTTGACAAGGAAAAATCCACATCAGCCAATTTTTTTTTGATCATCGTATCTAATCGTTCCAAAGACTGATTCAATGTAGGTTTCGTTTCAAAGTTGTATTTTTTTTTACTTACATTGCAAAATGCATTGTCGTATAAATATTTCACATCGCAGTTTTTAACAACCCAAGAATAAGAAATCTCGTTGGGCAAATCCAATTGAAAATTTGTACGCGTCTCAACGAGGTCACCGTTGATTGTAGTTTCATTAATTCTATTTTTTTTTAGTTTAGAATTTAAAAAGTAACCAGATATCAAAGAGTCGAACATATCATGATACGTGTCTTCTATCATGGTTGCAGAGCTATCATCGAACATTTCTTTTATTTTCAACTTCTCTAAGCAAGGCTCACCTAATTGATTTAATATATTTTTCTGTATCTCAAATATGACATTCCATTCTTCTGAACTGGCTTCAAGACTCTAAAATGTACTAGCATTCGCACTTACACAGACATATTGAAACCTCTCATACGTCTTCAAGCTTTTATATTTACTTTCATCCATTTATTCAACGCAAAAAAAAACTGATTAACTCTTATTAATATAATAAATTATCAAGTATTAAAAAGTTTGTCTATATCGTTTATTTTGGACTGTGCTTCATCAGGATGCGATATTAAGCCACAATCCTTTATGCAGTGGTTCGAATCACATGATTTTGATTCTTCGCATTTGTTACAGCATGCATTCTGTTTCTGCTCGCATGTCGAGTTATCGGTCTTATTTTTTTTGTCACAAGAATTTTCCGGTTCATTTTTTTTTTTAGAACTATTCGTTTGATCATTTTTGGGCATAATTGGAGACTCACCTATTTTAACACTTTCTGTTTCGAGTTCAACCTGAGCTTTGCCGGATTTAACGTTTTCCGTTTCGGACTCGCTTGGAGATTCGCTCGCTTTAGCGCTTTCTTTTTTTTCTTCTTTAATTTTCTTTTCATCGGCTTGTTTTTCATTCTCTAAGGTATTCTTTAGTTTGTCAATTTCTTCTTTTTCAGCTAAAGAATTTTGCAATTCAATCTGTTCGGTCGAAATATCTGCTAAATCCATGTCGTTTTGAACTTCAGTTTCTAAAGTTTTTACCTTGCTATCCTGCAATTTCAATTTTTCCAATTCTTTTAATTTCTGTTCTTTTTCAGCTTCGCGCTTGGATTTTGTTGCTTCCAGCATAGACTTTTTCTCTTCTAGTTTTTCATCATCCATTTTTTTTAATTTATCTAATTTCATTTCTTCTATGCTTGCATTTTGGCGAGCATCGTCCAGGTCAATTTTAGCGGCTTCGAACGCTTCAAGTGTTGCTAAATTAGCGTCATTTTCTTGATCTTTTTTTAATTCAGTTGAAGGATCAGAATATTCCTTGTTTTCCTCGCTTAAATTTGGACTTACTGAATTTATTTTATCGATCCTTAATCCTTTCAAATGCGGACGCTCGTTAGAATTATTAAAGTTTAAAGAAATATTCTTTGCTCGATCTTGGTCGACTGTTAAAGACCTCACTGTCACCACCAATAAGTAATGTAAAATTAATTTTCGCCTCATTCATCAAACATTGCGCGTAAATTGAAAAATTATTCAAAAAAACAATTATTCGCCTAACTCAGATTTATTGACAGAAATGCTCGATAAATAAATCACAAAAGATTCTACAACAACAGATAAGTCTAAAATAATTTTAAGGGATAGCCGCGAAACTTACAACAATTCTTCGTAAACAATATACTTTTTAACAAAAACACGATTTCTGGAATTTGATCACAAACAGAAAACTTGTTTTGACCGAAATCGATTTTTATTAACGTGTTCAAAAGCCAATTCAAGAAAGAAGAACACAATAAATAAGTAGGATTTTTGAGTAATATAGAAGTTAATACATGTATTTCGAATTTCAAAAGCGTCAAAACAACGTCCGATAAATATAAAAAAGCCACATTTTTTTTTTGAAGCACACCAACGTCATACAATATGTCAACAAAAAATTTTTGTTGATCCTCAGATAACTCTAACGTTAGCTTGTCAAAAGAAGTAAATATGTTGTACCAAAATAAACGACGACAATACCAAGGTTGCGAAACTTTTGTATGAGACGCAACGAGAATACTATTTATCTTATATTTAACAAAAAACTCGGCTTCAAAAACATCAAATTGGTAATCAACCAGCGAAATGCAATCGGAACCAATGCAAATAGAACTTGGATCAAAATCGAAACAATCAAATTTAATGCCTTTTATAGAAGCCAACCTAGCTTTTAATGGCATTAGAACATATTGAAACTTCTGATCAGCGTAAATGTTTTTTTTTATTTGAACTAAATCCGTCTTATCAACCGAATCAAACTCAGATACAAAACAAAACTCAGAACTAGAACAAATTTTATAACAATGTAACGAATTGATTTAAAACCTACACTGTCCTTAATTGAAGTTTTTCCATATAATAAGTGCAAATAATTAAAGTTTCTTGTATGTCAAATTTTTACCAATAAATCAGAGCATATAATATGAAAACAAAAGAATTATTTGTAAAAAATCACATTTAAATACAAATTTTAACAAAATATTTTGTATTTTTTATTGTAACGAAATGCCGCTAAATGAGTTCAATAAATGATAATATTCCTGAAATAGAAAAATCAGAAAACTCAGCCACTACAACTTTGAACAGCGAAATTGATAACAATAATGATATAATAGAACTCGATTTAACGAAAAAATCAGAAAAAATACAATTGTCAGACAAAAAGAGATTAGTATTCGCTTCAGACTTGAGTTGTTCAACAACAAACGCGAATGAATATAGCTTAAACCAAAAAACTTCTGACGACATTAACAGTATTACAATGGAATTGAAAACAGATTTAAAAATTGATGAAAGTACTGGCTTAATTAAAGACAATTGTGATCTGGAAGATGGAGAAATTTCAACTTATAAAACTGGAAGCACAACACTCAAGTACAACAGCGAAAACTTTGATTTCTACACGTCAATGGTAGTGTTGAAAACAGGTCAAGCTACATCTGAGGATTATGGTACTTTAATTAATCCCTCACAAAATACATCAGAAAACAAAGGTGAAAGAGGTTTCAAAAGGATAATTTCTCAACTAAGAAGTTTGAGATCCAATAATAATAACCAAGCCGAACCTGTTGAAGAAAATTTAGACGATAATAAACTTGAGCGCAAACAAGAAAACGTATTTGCTTTATTAGAAATGAATTCAGACAAAAGTGATAACGAAGAGTCTGTGTCTCAGGCATTTACATCGCCTAGAGAGGAGAGTGATTTGGAGGACGAAATCAATAGTTATTCTAGCATATGCGCAACTTTATCGTCATCTGAATCGTATGAAGTAAACATTGATAAGTTCATGCATAGAGCTAAACCAATTTCATCAATGCCATTTTCAAACTTCATGTTCAAACCAAATTGCCCTGTAGCCACATCTTGGCGCGAAAAAATCGGAACCGATATCACAAAACTCTCATTTAGAGAAAGACTACACGAAGAGCTACTAGCTTTCGTTAGTTCAATTGACCTGACTTCATCTGACGATCATCATAGACAACAAATTTTTGCTGTTATAGTCCAATTGGCTTCGCGACTCTGGCAGCATTGTAAAATTATCACATTTGGTTCTTACGCAACCGGACTGTCTTTAAGAGACGGAGACATTGACATATGTCTGCAAAACGTTCCTGTTCAGGGTAATCACCCCCATTCACTTTATGTATTAAAATCGCACTTATCTAGGATGCCTTGGTTTTGTTCAAACATCCACATAATAAACAAGGCAAAGGTTCCACTCTTAAGATTCACGCACGTTTCTTCTAAAATAAACGTTGACATCAGTTTAAACGTCGATTCTGCAATATCGAGTACTTTTTTCATCAAAAACTACTTGTCTTTTTTAGCTCCCATGAGACCACTTGTTTTATTTTTAAAATACATTCTGAAAATGAATGATTGGGCTGATACGTATACTGGAGGAATTGGGAGCTTTTTGCTGTTTGTTATGTTATCTTTTCATTTCCAGCGTGAGTACTTAAATAATGAAAACTCTGCCGTAATTAATCCCACTAATACTTCTAAACATTTCAAAGTTTTGAATAACTACTTTACTAAATTCATGAATTATGAAGACACGTATCGAAACCTCGGAATAGAGTTGATTGCTTTTTTAAAACGATACGTCTCATTCGACTACCTTAACGAATCTATTGATCTCACTTCTAAAACTGGTACCAATAAAATAAATAAAATATTTTATGACGATTATGCCGATATTAGTGAATTCAGATTTTCGATTATCTCTCCTATTTCGAAAAACGAAGACATTGGCAAGAAAACCTTTCAGATCCACGAAATTATTTGTTATTTCAAAAGACTTATCGATAGAATACAGTATGTTAGTGAATTAGAGCTTTATTATTTAGAAAACAATGACACAAACACTTTAAACCAAATAAGAGAAAAATCTATTCTCAGCTTTGTCTTCAATGACATTGACCTTAGCTATCATAACAAATTCAAACCCAAAACTCCAAATTTTACAGAGTACGACGTTTACAAACCACACACGTTACCAGAAATCACAAAAAAACATTTCAAAGAAGCTAAGCAACTAATTGATGAATTACTAGTGGAAAATAATTACAAATCTAGGTATTCAAAGTGAAGAATTTTTTTACGGCTGGTTGAGTCAGTCAAAAATATCTGTAAGCGAGTATTCCAATTGCTTATTTGTAGTTTTTTTTGTTCTAATTAAAACGTAAATTAAATGACTACATAGTCCTACCTGCTTTAAAAATTCATCATTTTTTTTGGCTTTTGCTTTTAAACACAAGCTACAATAAAAAGGTAAAACTAAAAAGAATTGATCGGCGTCAGCAACCCGGTATGCATTATTTGATTGTATTATATTTATTTTTACAATTCCTAAATTGATGTTGATTATTTCAAGATCGAATTTTTTTCTAAAAAATATTAGTAAAAAAAACTTACAATAGTAGTTTTTCAATTGAATTTTTTTGAACCAATGATGAAAGAAAATCTAACCTATTATAAACATCCCTAAAAATAACTTTTTCATTAAACACACCACTTGGTTTCAATTTTCCAATTTTCAAGAATTGAACCTAATATTAAATTTTGTTGATCCATAAAAATATTATTTATATTTATAGGTAACCGCTCAAATATGAATGATTTCACTGATATTCCATATTTAAAGCTCGCTTTTTCTAAGCTAGTAGATCCGAATAAAAGGTATTCGAAATTATGGACAAATATTCTGAACAAATTAAAAAAAAATTCAAATGAGCTCGACAGTAAAAAAGAAAATGTAACTGTTTTAGGATCCGGATGGGCGAGTACTACTTTTATTAAAAACCTTGATCCTAAATTATATCATGTGACACTAATATCTCCCCGTCCTTGGTTTACTATGACACCACTGTTAACAGCAGCGATCAGTGGACGAATAGGACTCCGTACTGTGATCAGTCCAGTTAGCCGTTATCTTTTTAAATATCCCAAGCGTGGATTTGAATTGATCAAGGGTGAAGCAATTGATTACTTAGGAAACAATACAATAAAAATAAAGACGAACTGCAACGAAGAAAAAATTCATAAATACGATAAACTAGTCATTGGTGTTGGTTCTGTTACGAACACTTTTAACATACCTGGAGTGGAAAAAAAAGTTAGTTTTCTAAAAACTATTGACGACGTTAGAGAAATCAGAGAAAAACTGTTTAATAACTTTGCCATAGCCAAAAACAACAACCTTAGCCCAAAAGAAAAAGAAAAGCTTCTCAGTATCGCTATTGTAGGTGGTGGATTTGCTGGTGTAGAAACAGCGTTTGAACTACAAAATCTAATAGAAACAGACCTGAAATTTATGTATCCAGATGAAGCTAAGTTTGCGAAAATATCTATTGTGGAAATGTTGCCTAACATGTTACCGATTTGTGAAAAATCAGTAAGTGAATTTGCAAACAACACACTCGATCAACAAAAAATAAAGCGTTACAACAACTGCCGAGTGACATTGGTTGACGCCGATGCGATCAATGTTGTAGACAAAAACTCTACGAGTTTCAAGATTCCGGCTTCACAAGTCATTTGGGTTAGTGGAATAATGCAAACATCTTTTGTAAAAAAACTTATTGATAAAATTGAACAACAAAAGGATAATCGATTCTTACTAGTAAATCCAGACTTGTCAGTCATTGGAACTAAAGATATGTACGCTTTTGGAGATTGTTCTCGTCTAACCGTCAAGCCTTTAAGTTCAATAGTTAACGATCTGTTGGAAAAAGCAAAATCTGAAAATATCAACTTGTCAAACTGCAAAAGATTTATAAAGAATGTGTCAGAAATGTTAGTTTACAAAAACAATTATGTTCAACTACACAAAAACTATTTGAAGGACGTTTTAACTGATATACCAAATCTACCAGCGAATAAAGAAACTTTACAAACGTCACTAACTCAAATCGATAAAATGTACTCACCGCCTGGACCCACCGCACAGTCTGCATTTCAAGCAGGTCAATATTTGTCAAATAAGTTTAATTTGAGTAAAAAGAATCCTTTCAACTTGTTCGTTGCTCCATTCGCAGCTTGCAACTTTGGAACGATGACATATGTTGGTAAAAACGATGCAATTATTCAATATAATATCAGTAAATCATTGGCAAACAAGTTTAAGTTTTCTTCTATACTTTCAAATTTGTTAGTTGAGAGGAAAAAACCAATTATCGCAAAATTCGGTGGGTTTGGTACTGAATATATGCGACAGGGATATTATTTTACAAAACAAGTGAGCAATTGGAATAAATTTTTAACTATCGGAGATTTGATCAAGTCTAAATTTTCGTTAAGTGATTTAGTATCAGATGTAAATGAATCCTCTATTAATTATCATAGAAATTCAATTATAAACTAAATTTAAATATATAAAAACCGTATTATAAAAATATTATATTTTAATGTCAACAATATTTGATTTCAAATTTTCATAAGTTAGCCTTTTTTTCGATAGTACTCTAACTTGTGTAGATTTACTTTTTTTATTTATTGCAGAACGATGTTTACTAAAGGAAGAAGTTTTATTGAATTTCCTTTCTTTAGGCTTTCTATCACTAAAGTTAGTTCGATGTATTCTATTTGTGAAAGAGTTATTATGATAACTTGGTTTATAATCTTCATTATGCGAGTATCCTAATTCTTTAGGACTTTGTCTCAAGAAAAGACAACCGGCAAGTTTTCCTAAATGAAGTTTGCTAAAATCAAATATGGCTCTTAATTCTTTTTGATAACATCTGTAATCTTTAATTGTTGACAAAAAAGCTTTAGTACCAAATTCAAGCAGCTTAGGCTCTTTTTGTACTTGAACGCTAAACCTAGATACTAAGTAATCTAATGTTCCCTTGGGTCTTAGGCACTTTAAAAACTCGGGTAGTAAGCTGGCAGGACTACCGGGCTGAAACAACTTCAAAATTTTACTTTCATTGGTCACTGAAATATCAACGTTTCGTATTTTATTTTTAATAATTTTGGTAAATCCTTCTTCATGTGAATTTAAAAGTGTTACTGCTATGCCAACTTTTCCCAATCTAGCGGTTCGTCCGATTCTATGAATGTAATCAACAAGCTCGATGGGCGGTTCAAATTGAATTATAAAGTCTAAATTGTCAAAATTTAAACCTCTAGCAGCTACATCGGTTGCAAAAATTATACAGTGGTCTTCCGTTTTATTTATTTTGATTAAGTGTGCAGATCTTTCTGCTGCGTCCATTGCACCATGTAATTTGAAAAATTTAACTGAATCAAATAAGTGCTGATCAGACGTGGTTTCTTCGAGTTTTACAGACTCTTGATTGATTTTGTCAAACAATAAACTGTTAAGTTCAGCGTCTTCAACTTCAGACATTACTTTTTTGTATTCTTGCTGTATTTTCATGTTTTTCTCAGTTTCGCTTTTAGGCTTGTCACTAGGTGGTAACGGCCATTTCAAAAATGGGAATAAGTAAAAGAAGTAATCAATCAACTCACAAGAGTTTGCAAAAACTAATGTTTGTTTTTTCGGTAGTTTTTTTCTATGCAACAGTAAACAAATAAGTGTCAATAATTTGTACTTGTTATTTTCGTGTATGATAACGCTTTTTTTCAAAGAATCAGGAATAGACCACGATATTTCTTTGTTTGAATTTTCGTCTAAAGAAGAATTATCTATTTCGTTGTAATTGACTATCCATTTCGCATCTTTAATGATGAAGAAATTTGCCGTTTTAGTGATTTCTTTAGATAACGTGGCAGATATCAAAATGCAGTGAAGTTCAGACTTAATTTGATATTTTTCAAACTTTTTTTCGTATGCTTCTATATCGTATTCGTCGAGAGATGTGTTTTCTGCTTCTCTTCTTTGCTTCAAAATATTGAATATTTTTTTTAGTTTATTTTCAAATCCTAAATCTAAAAGACGGTCTACCTCATCAATTATAATAGTATCTAAATATTTAATTCTAAGTGAAATAGTGGTTTCCAAGTGATCAGTTAATCTTCCAGGGGTGGAAATCAAAATGGTTATGCCTTTGCGTAACGAGGATTTTTCAGATTTTTTTTTTGCGCCGCAAATCAATGCAAAAGTAGTTATCCAGTAGTGAGTATTGGTTAGTTGTTTGGCTAAGTTCTCAATTTGAACACACAACTCTCTGGTTGGCGCTAAAATCAAAATCCGGGTCCCCAGACTTCTGGGACTCACGACCGTTTTCAAGTCGTCAGGTTGTAAAATATTTAAGCTTATAAGTTTCTTACGAACAGATTCATCAGTGTGTATCAATCGATTTATTGCTGGGACCAAATATGCAAGTGTCTTTCCTGAACCGGTTTCTGCTTGTATAAATGTGTCTTGAAAATCTGTGGGAGACAAAGCCTCTAAAGCAAGTTTTTGAATTAGCGTTACACGGTTAAAATTTAGATGACTTAACTGATTTTTTAATCTGGTCTCTAAAGTTTTGAAATCTTGAAACGAATAAGTTGTTAAAACAGAATTATTTTTTGTTTCTTTAGCATCGCCAGTATTTTTTTTAGTCATAAAAGAATGTAAAATAATAGTTGAATTCTATTAATAATGGCAAATCTTAAAGTTTTTTTCTTTTTTTAAGAAAAAAAAATATTGTTTATTTTTCTGTTATTGTCATTACCGCTTTTATAAAACAAAATAACATTATATTTAATCTGTCCGCCAGACTTTTCTGATATAATTTAATACACTAGTTATGAATACATATGATCCGTATTGATTTTCTATTTTGACTGCTAGTTTCAACATATGTCGCATGATTTTTAGTTCGCTTATTGTTGTTCTTTTTATCAAAAAACTTTTATACGAGGTACACTTCAATTTGTAATATTTTAGTGATCCATCATCCCAAAGTCCATAGAGTTCGTGTTCATGAATGTCGTTAATACTTTGTATAGTGGCCTGTGTTAATTGATGTAGATAATTGTTTTTATTTATTTGAGATTTCCAATTCTGAGCTATTTCTGGAGATATTTGAAATTTTGTTTTGGGAACTATTGAAAGTATATTTTCGTCTACCAAAATTTTACTAAATTTAGACAAGTCTTTCATGGTAGTCGGAATCGGATAAATTACAGCAATATGATAAAGTGTAAAGCTTCCTTCTATTAACACAATACAACGCAATAATAATTGTAGTTTAACATCGAAGTTCTCGAAAATAGATTCTAGCTCGTTTAAAAGTTTTGGAGGAGCGGGCATTTGTTCAAGTTCTTTGAATAAGTAATTGTCGAGCTCTTGGATGGGGTAATCATAGTTGTGATTGATGCCAAATTTTTTGAAAACTTGCTGGGTCTTTAAAACATGTCGAATGTATATTTTGTCAAGTAAACTAAAGAATTTGTTAGAATTACTCCAAACAAAACAATATTTTTCGTTTGTACGAAATTTGGTTTCAAGCAAAATATATTCCATCGGTCCTGGTATCCAATTTACAGCCGGGATTAAGTCCTTTTCACAATTGTTCTTATGCCAGACTGTATTTATAAAATTTTTAGAAGGAACAATGGCTAAATCTTTAGTTTTATGTGTTCTAAAGTAGAAATGTTTAGCTGCTACATTGTAAGTTATGATATTATTTGGATATTGTTCGAAAAATCTTGAAATAAATAATTTAGTTATTATTTCGGACGTAGAACATGTTCCTATTAAACTATTCATAAGTTCTTTTTCAGCGTATGTTTGATAATTAATAATTTCATAGTCTGATTTTTTCAGCTCTTCGTCTTTGAATTTGATATAGTCTTTAATTTGATCACAAAGATAGTAAACATTTTTAATTAGTTTAAGAGAATTATTTTCTACGTAATGAAATAGTACATTTGGAATTTGAGAAGGATTTAAATTGAACAAGTGAGCTATTATAGCTTTAATCTCTGAAGAAGACAAATACTTTAGTTTAAAATACATACTGCAGGCTCTGGCTGACGATTCTATATAACTGTATTCGGGGCGAAGGTTTTCAGGATTACTGATTTGTATGCAGAATACAAAAGTTGGCTGAGGAATCACATAATTTGGTTTACAGTCTATACAAGGTTTTTCATTCGAATTCCCCAAACACCATTTACAGTAATTGCTGTGGGATTCACGCCATTCAACTAATTTTGCAAACTGTTGATTCATGCGTGACTGCCGAAGTTTCATTGCATACACAGATAAATTTTTCATCAACTGCCAGATATCGCCAGAAGAAGGATCTATTTTCATGTTTTTATTTGATATTTCAAAAATCAAAACTGTAGGAAACCAAAATGAAAAATTGTGAATCAAAGATGTGAGTATTGATAAAACGATTTTTCTAGTTAACTTAATCTCAGTTGATAAGACTTTGCTAGTTAAAATATCTTGCTCTGTATTTTCTAAAATCGAGTTATTCTTAATGTCATAATCTAATTTAAAAAGTTTGAACAAACTAGGGAGAAACAAATGTAAAGAAGGGTGAACAAATTCTTTTGCAAGTTTAATTGAAGACGTGTTTGGTAAAAGTCGCGTATGCTTATACAATTTATCAATTTCTTTATAAGAAATAGATATTAGCTTCATAAATATGGTTCTGAAAACGTAGTATGGAACGTAAGAAACCGGTAAGTAACAATCTTCTGGTAAAAAAGAAATCCGAATCATCCTTCTTTCCCGTTTACTACATAGCAGATTGAAAATATGCATGTATTCTTGGTTTCCAGATGTATCGGATCCTTCAATCAAACAAACTCCTCCTAAATGAAATGGCTCTTGTAGATGTGGCAGCCAAGGCTCATATGAATACCATGGATAGTTGACTTGTAATTCTTCGTATTTTGAAATCGGCCAGTAATCAAATCCAACGACAAACGGACGAAATCTATATTTTGGAAAAATAAGAGAGCGAATTTTATGTAAACACTTCCACTGAGGGATTAAAAGTCTGGTATCTATTGAAATTCCATTAGATTCATAAATATTGTCTGTGAGGTTCCAAATATTAATATCATGTGATTTTCCTTTAACGGGAATAGCGGGTAACGGTTCACACACAACAAAATGATTAATAAGGTAGTAAGTTGCTTCGTCGATAATTATTTGATTAGACTTAGCTGCGGTCATGAGACGTGCAGCAAGATTTACTGTATCTCCTAAAGCAGTTTTTTCTCTCCTGATACTACTTCCTATAATACCAATCCAAGCTAGACCTGTTGATATACCTATTTCAACCGTAGATAGACTACTATTGAAAATAAATTTAAGTCGTAAAGCAAATATTACGGCTCTAATAGCATCGTCAGAATGCTTGTTAGGTGGACATCCAAACAACGCTAAAATAACCATTCCCTTATCATCAACCATCATTTTGTTAATATTGAACTGTAAAATATCAGCCAAAACTTGACATTGCAAAAAAACTCGATTTAAAAAAATAATGATAGAATCATCTAAAGTTTTCAATGAACTACAATGGATGAACATTACTGTTAATTTGAGTATTTCGTTATCAAATACGTTTAAACCGAGTTTCAAACGTGAAATGACTTGATCAGGAACAAAATACGAAAGAAAGCCTAAGGTTTTGTATGATAAGTTGAGTTTAACTCCTGATCGGGGAGTGATTTTATTACTTAACTGAGATTTTAATTTATAGTAATTTCCATATTCATTTGACTTGAAAAAGTATTCAAATTCGAAATCATCTGAACAGTGCAGAAAAACTGATTGACACACTACAGTTTCTCTGTGACTGGCTCGACTTTCCGCTAAAGCTACTGAAGAAATTGCTTCACTAGTTATTAAGTGTTGATATTTCATCTTGTATCCTCCAAGCAACAACAGATTCAGTACGTTGAAACTTACACCGATATGAAGATTGAAAAAATGATTTTGAAATGGCGTGGGAAACTCACTCATTATTTCATGAAGGTCTAGACAACACTGTAAAGCTAAGTAACAAGCCGTCTTCGCCGAATCATATCTGTACGAGTAGTCAACTAATCTCGAATTAGGTTGAACCGGCCAAATAACCATCAAAGCATCGCCTGCAAATTGTATTATATCGCCTCCCCAATAATTCAAAATTAAAATAATTGAACTCATATATCTGTTTACCGCGTTTCCAAGCAACTCGGCCCCGTTATCATGCAGACAAAATTTTTCACATAGACGCGTAAAACCGCTAGCGTCACATATTATTATGGCTGCGGGAAACTGAGATATGAGAGGACGAAATTTAAAATTGGAAATTAAAGTATATTCCTCAAGCATGCACTTCGGAATAAAACTCATGTAAGACTTGATTAGTTTTGTGCAAGCAGTTGTTACACTCTTCTCATCTAGTACATCTAAAACTTGGTTTTCGTCTTTGGTATTTACTTTGTTTGTGTAATGTTCTTCTAAAAAAGACTTTTCACATAATCCTAAATAGCACATCAAATTAGACGCTGAGGGTTCTATAATCATAGATCCAGCATTGTCTAAAACTTTGTTTTTGACGCAAAAATATTTGGTTACATCGAAAATTTTGCTTTTTGTCATACCTTACTATAATATAGTGTTCACGTAATTTTGATATCAGCAAAAATGGCGTTAATCAAACGTGTTTAATTCATTAGAAAAAGTTGTTTAAGTGTTATTTCATAAAGTAATGCGTTTTCAAGTGTAAATTACATTAATATCGTTCCATTATTTCAAGTTTCAGAATGATTAGGTTTCTGAAAAATGAAAATAAAAATTTGTATTATCAATAATTATTTATATTAGCTAGTGCTATATAAAATACGACACCATTTGAATAGATGTATTAATAGTATATTGGCTTATAAATTCTAAAAAAAATTATAATTCATCATTCTTTCGAGGAGTTGCTGGTTTAGCTTCAACGTAATTTTTGAATCTAATATTTCCAGACTCCATTTCATTTATAAGGTTAACAACATTGTTAACGCTCAGTTCGTCTTCTAAAACAACATATTTGTTGGGACGAGCTCTGTATAATACAGGTTTGTTATCTTTGAGCAAATTGTTCCACTTAGAGTCACTTTCAATATTGACCCAGCTAAAGGTGTATTTGATCGTGGATTTTGTGTACCTCTTAATAAGTGTTTCATATATTTCTTCTATTTCAGAAGGAACTTCATTTCCCTTTATAGGCTGAATGATGCATACGTGTGACTTAGTTCTTTTACAAAGCTGATTTTCCGTGACATCGTTTAATTCCTTGAATAATTTTTTATTTTGTTGTGCAGATTGTTTAGATTTGTTTTTATCAACATTAGAAAAAAGGTCATTGCTGATATTTGACTCGGCGTAGGTGTTTAAAAACTTGTGCATATCGAAATACTTGAATGGGCCCTTATACATGTAAACCTGACTGGTGTTTAAATTGTTGTTTGATACTTTAATAATTAACTTGTTGAGAGAAGGCTTGCCAACCATCATTCTAGAGGCGACATCTTCTGAATTACAAATAGCGAAAAGTAGCTTGTCATCAAATGAGTGAGCGAGAGATTTCAGGAAAGGAGGAATTCTCAATTTTTTTGAAA